CCCCACAGGGCTCAGTCACTCACTGGGGGGCACAGAGGCCAGAGCTTCAGATCCTTCTGCCTTCTTCTCCAGATCCCGTATGGAAAGAAGTACGACAAGACCTGGCTCATCACGGCCCTGCAGAACTTGTGCACGGTGCCCTTCACCCCAGTGCAGGTAGGCGTGCCGGGGGTGAGAGTCACGTGTGTCTCGTCACGGCTCGCTGTGGACATCCTGTCGCACCTCGCCTGCAGCCTCTGTGTCACTGTGCAGAGGAAGGGTGACCAGCTGGCCGCAGGCCCTCTCGCCCCCTTGGTCAGCTTAGATAATGACCTTTCCGAACACGGGAGGGAGCTGTGGGGAGTTCTGCACCGGCCGGGGTCCTGGGCCGTCCGTAGGGTGGAGTTAGGGTTGGGTGAGGAGGTGTGTGGAAGGGGACACTGTCAGGAATCGCCAGTGTTTTCTCCAGGTTCCAGGAATCGGGCCCTAACTCCTGGCCCCCCCCCCAACTCACTGCCCCCCTCTCTCCTCAGTACCACTGCGAGGGCAACAAAGCCATGTTCTATATAGAGGACGCTACCACGGCCAACGCCCTGTCCAAGGTGTCGCGCAAGATCACGGACACCGACGGGTACAAGGTAGGTGCTGTCCGCAGGCCCGCCTCTCGGGGAGACTGCCGGCCCCCCCCGCTGACTCAGCCGCTGTCTGACTGCTGCTTACAGGTCTCCGTCATCATGAACCCCTCCCCGCCCCCCCCCAGCATCCAGAGCGAGCTCAAGCCCGAGGACCTGGAGCACATGAAGGTGAGGCGCGCTGGCACCCTGAGAGCCAGGCCTGGGGGGCAGGCTGGTGTGACTGGTGGGTGGGGCCAGGAGACAGGGACAGGTGGGCGGAGCTCGGGCTGGGAGAGGCAGGCTGGTGGGCAGGGCTGGTGTGACCTGTGGGCGGGGCTCGGGCTGGGAGAGACAGGCTGGTGGGCAGGGCTGGTGTGACCTGTGGGCGGGGCTCGGGCTGGGAGTCGGGCTGGTGTGACTGGTGGGCGGGGCTTGGGCTGGTGGGCAGGGCTGGTGTGATGGGTGGGTGGAGCTTGGGCTGGGAGCCGGGCTGGTGTGACGGGTGGGCGGAGCTTGGCCTGGGAGTCGGGCTGGTGGGCAGGGCTGGTGTGACGGGTGGGCGGAGCTTGGCCTGGGAGTTGGGCTGGTGGGCAGGGCTCGGGCTGGGAGTCGGGCTGGTGGGCAGGGCTGGTGTGACGGGTGGGCGGAGCCAGGAGACAGGGATGGGTGGGCATATCTTGGGCTGGGAGAGGCAGGCTGGTGTGACTGGTGGACGGGGCTTGGGCTGGGAGAGGCAGGCTGGTGTGACTGGTGGACGGGGCTTGGGCTGGGAGAGGCAGGCTGGTGTGACTGGTGGACATGGCCAGGAGACAGGGACTGTTGGGTGGGTGTTTGGGCTGGGGGATGGGAGACAGACAGACTACGTGCTTACCTGCACACACACAGCGAGGGCTCAGTGCAGACTGAGAGTATTTCTGTCCTTTTTCAGCAATGCATGAGCAAACGTTTTGATGCACCCCAGCAAGCGCTTGACTTGAACAGCATCCGGACAGACCCAGGTACGTACTGCACACCCAGCGCTGTGTCAGAGCTGCGTTCCGGTGAGGTCATCGCGCGTCTCTGCAAGATACTCACGACTTCCTCTCTCTCAGACCTGCTGTCCCACAACATCGAGGTCATCCTGAACAGGAAGAACTGCATGCAGGCTGTCAACAAGATCATCGAGGAGAACATTCCAGAGGTAACCGACACCAGCAGGCGCGTGACCGCGCCCAGCCCGGGGGAAGAGGGGGAGAGGGAGGGAGGGAGGGAGGGAGGGAGGGCTGCTTCGTAACCGGAACAGCTGCAGAGCCTGAGGGAGTGGGCGTCTCGTCCACACGAGGGCTCCTGCGCTGCAGACTCGTTAAAACCAGCGCCCAGACACTCGCTCGCTCGCACAGCCCCCCTGTCACCGAGCTGCCTGATCGCAGGCCACAGCTCTCCCAGTTCGCCCCTGAGAGACGGCGCGCTCCTCCCCCCCGGGTCCCGCGTCCTCGCCCCGCTCGGGAAAGAGTGCGGATGGCGAGACCAGCTAACGGCGCCTCGTCCTCGTCTCTCTCTCCCAGCTCGTCTCCCTCAATCTGAGTAACAACCGGCTCTACAAGCTGGACGACATGGCCGAGCTGGTGGGCAGGGTGCCCACGCTGAAGATCCTCAACCTGTCGCACAACGAGGTGAGCCCCTCCTCCGCTCCGCTCCTCGCCACGCGCGCGCCTGAAGCGCTGGATTCTGCCCTAACTCCTTGTGCGTGCGCGTGCGTGCGTGTGTGCGTGCGTGCCTGTGCGCCTGTGTGCCCCGCAGCTGAAGACGGAGCGCGAGCTGGACAAGATCAAGGGGTTCAAGCTGGAGGAGCTGTGGCTGGACCGCAACCCCCTGTGCAACCACTTCAAGGACCAGTCCACCTACATCAGGTCAGTGCGCCGCCGGGCAGGGGCCGCGGGGCGGGGGGGCGGGGGGGTGGGGTTCGTGCAGGGGGGCACCAGCTGGCCAGAACTGGTGCTGTTCTGTGCCCACTGGCCCACAGACACCCCGACCTGGGGAGAACGGGGGAGGAGAGGAGGCCAGGCGACGGGCTGGTCCGGACCCACAGGGAGAGTGCTCGGCTCCCATGGGGCTCTGCTGTGACTACAGGCTGGATGATTGGCACTCTGTGACCCCGCCCTCAGGAGCGCGTCCTGGCGACTGTGCCCATGGAGACCAGGCGGCAGGGGGCTGCTGTCTTGTTCCTTTACTGTCTGGCTCTGAGTTGCTCCAGGTCTGAGAGACTCAACCCTGATGCAGCGCGCGGCTCCCACAGAGACAGGGCCCTGGCCGAGGAGTCCAGGGCTGCTGGGGGGCTCCTGCTT